TTCAATAACATTAACTTATGTCATTTGGGCAACACAGCATAAACAATAACAAGAACAATAAGTGCATGTTATTGCACAAAATAGAATGAATGCCCATAGTAGAGTAATTATAATAAAAACATGGTAGTTTCAACAATACAGAATATGACAATATAAACAACTAAAGTACTAATATCATCAAAAATAGGAATTAAAAGAAGACAAGAATTTAAGGGAATTTGGAAGGAGTGAAAGACATGGATCACTAGACAGGAAGAAAAGTAAGGGGCTAAGGCATTGATGAGCTTGTCCATTCGTTCATTCACAATCCTTTGATCAAGGATCATATGCTCTCTTAGGTCCTCCATCTATTTCCTCAATCTTTCATTCTCACCCTTCAACTTAGCATTCTATTCTGCAAAGGGTCCACGGGGACCTGGTTCTCTACCTATCTGAGCAGGCTGAACCATCAACCAGATCACCAAGAATCTCCCCAAGCTTCTTCTCATCAAGAACAAACTCAGTTCCATGCACATATAGTATCATAGTATCACATACAACATAGAAGTTTTTACTTCTTCCTAAACATTGGGACTTGGAGGAACAAAGAGGTGATTCTATTTTTGGAACTCAGCAATGCCAAGAAGTTCCTCCATTTTTCAGCAATATCAGCACTCTGCCTAATAGCACTTTTGAGGCTTCAAAGTCTTCTACCTCTCCAAACCCGATAACTCAATCTTTTGATTCTGTAAGGAACCAGGTTCCTCACCCACGCTACCCTTTCTTTCCCTGAGCGGCCATGTCTCCCTCTTCTTCTTCTCAATCTGTTCACCCTTATCATCTGTTGCATCTTTCTTAACCAACCTTTTTTTCTCAATTTTTTTTTCACAAGTGAAGATTTTTCCACTTTATTCTATCCTTCACAATCACCACATTAGCAAGTCACACCACTTTATCATCAATCAACCTACTTTTCATCAATCCTTTTCACTGGATCGGAAGTTAGTTTAAACACAGAACTCAAAAAGAAAAAGATCAACACTAGAATTAACATCCTGAGAAGGACTTGATGGATCAGGCCATTCATTCAGTTCGCCTTTTTGCAGCACATTCAACAATTTCTCTATCCTTCAATACTTCTACAAACCCAACAATAATTTCAGCCTCACGCTCTAGAATATTAGCTCTACCCTGTTCCCTTTCAGTTAAAATCCCATCAAAATCTACCAAAGACTTGTTGGGATTTTGATTCAGATGGAGTTAGGATTTTGGAAAGTGACAGAGTTGGGTTCACTTATGGCATATTTGGAGAGAAGGATTCTGTTAAGACAAGATTAATTTTGGTTTTGAAGTAAAGAATCAGTTTTGGTTGGGTGTAAGAGAAGGAAGTGATTGTTAGGGGCAACGTGTCAGTTCAGAAAAAGTTTAACGTTTTAGACTTCAAAAATTAGGAGAGAGGCGAAATAATATAATGACATGACACTTCAGCAGATTAAAAAGGTATATAAGTATTGGAGAGACTACTAACCTGAGTCGCAGGAACTAGGTTCCTTGAGGGTTTTTGAAAATCTGAGCAAAGACTTCTAAAAGTGCAATGTCACTCTTACTTGTTTTGTCCTAAAACTGCCATGTGTGTATACTTGTAACAGTATAGATTTGAGTTAGATGTTGCCGAAAAATACTTTTTAGCATTGTGCCTTTCCTTCTTAACATAGCCAACTATCGAGGGACCAGGTCCTTAGTTGAGCTTAATCAACCCCAACTCCAGACGATTTCTTTCCAAATGTTCCTTGATCAACGCCTTGGAAAGTGATAGAGTTGGGTTCACTTATGGCATATTTAGAGAGAAGGATTCTTTTTAAGACAAGTTTGATTTTGGTTTTGAAGAAAAGAATCAGTTTTGGTTGGGTGTAAGAGAGGGAAGTGATTTTTTGGGGCAACATGTTTGTTCAGAAAAAGTTTTAACATTTTGGACTTCAAAAATTAGGAGAGAGGCGGGAATAATTTAATGACATGACACTTCAGCAGATTAAAAAGGCATATAAATATTGGAGGGACTATTAACCTGAGTCGCAGAAACCAGGTTCCTTGAGGGTTTTTGAAAATCTGAGCAAAGACTTCTAAAAGTGCAATGTCACTCTTACTTGTTTTGTCCCAAAACTGCCATGTGTGTATACCCATAAAAGTATAGATCTGAGTTAGATGTTGCCGAAAAATACTTTTAGCATTGTATCTTTCCTTCTTAACATAGCCAATCATCGAGGTACCAAGTCCTTAGTTGAGCTTAATCAACCCCAACTCTAGAAGATTTCTTTCAAAATGTTCCCTGCTCAGCGCCTTGATGAAGATGTTTGCTACCTGGTTCTCCGTCTTCTAGAACTTCATACAAATCAGACCCTTTTTAACATTTATCCCTTAAAAAGTGATGTCACATATTAATGTGTTGTGTCCCCTTGTGTTGTACTGGGTTATTTGCCATGATTAGAGCACTTGTGTTATCATACAACAATGGCACACGATCTGTAAACACACCCAAATCTTCTGGTTGTTGCTTGATCTATATCAGTTGAGCACAACAAAAGGCAACATCCACATATTCAACTTCAATAGTAGAAAAAGCCGCAGAGTTTTGTTTCTTGTACCTAAGAGATCAAACATGACCCCAGAAAATGTGCCATTCCAGATGTTCTCTTTCGATCCACCAGATATCCAACATAATCAGCATCAGCATATCCAACCAAGTCAAAATTATCTCCTGAAGAATAGAAGGGGACCAGGTCCTACGTTCCCTTAGGATACCTCAAAATTCTTTTGGAAACCTTCAAGTTAGATTCTTTTGGGCTTGATTGGAACGTAGAGCACAACCCAACACTAAAAACAATATTAGGTTTGCTAACAGTCAAGTATAGAGGAGATCCAATGATACCCCTATATATAGTTTCATTGACAGGAAAGCGAGGTTCGTCCATGTCTAGACAAGTAGTAGTGGCAATAAGTGTATCAATGGTCTTAGCATTCTCCATCTCAAATCTTTTCAGCAACTCCATGAAGTACTAAAACTTCAGAATTTGATGGACCAGGTTCCTCCATTTTTGAAACATCATTGACATCAACATAATTATGACTTCCACTTCTTTGTTCTGCATTAGAAGTACCTGATGCAACATCAGCAACCCTATGTTCAGCTTCAGTCAAGGTGATAGAGGGACCAGGTTCCTCTGTGCCTTTTGGAGATTCCGCTGCATCTTCTTCATCGCTCTGCTTTACCTGACACATCAAATTAGTCTTTCAATTTGCAATATTTATAGCTTCACCGGGAGCATTTGTCAATTGTCCATCTTCATCTTCTTTGTTATATGACCCTTTGTCGCCATTGTTGAGAAAAATCCAAAGGCTCTCAAGTAAGTCAGCTTGGGTTTTCTCCCATTGATCAGTTCATGGAGAGACTTCTCGAAAAGGGACCTGATCATGCACATGTTAATCAAGTAGCAGGCAATGTTGACTGCTTCAGCCCACGAACCAGGTCCTCCATAACCAACTTGTTTAGCAAATAAAAACTCACATGCCCCAGCCATCTGCGCCATAACTCAACATCACCATCAATGACACTTAGGCATGTTAGATCACCATCATTCAGTGAATCAAGGTCTGCAACATAGATGTTCTTGAACTTTTTGTCTATCAACACCACTTCACTAGTTTTAAGATTGGTGACAGTGCAAGATTTGTACAAGAACTTCACTCCATTTTCCCTTATCACAGATTTGAGACACACTCAACAAACTATAGTTCAAGCCATTCACATGGTACACATTTTCAATTTCAATTTGGGTCCCTTATAAAAATAGAATGGGCGGATCAAACTTCTTTTCGCCCATGCAGGCAACATATATTTTCCTCTCAGAGGACCAGGTTCCTAAATAGTATGCTTCTTTTCAACAAAAACTTTATTTTTCTATAAAGACTGAATTTTAAATTTATAAGAGTCTTTGTAATGACCAGTTTGACCATAATGAGTGCACAACCTATTATCAGCCACAATTACATACTTGCTATGGGGATTATAGGAGGTTTTAACCTTTTGGAACCCGATTCCTTGCCAGTTTCTACCATTACTCTTGTATATAGACGTTATTATATCAGAGGACTGAATCCATTTAAGTGACTTATCAAGATCATTTTTAACCCTTTCCAGATCCTCCTAAAGTTATCTATTATTTTCAAGCTCAACAACAAGACTTGTTTTAACTTTCTTAAGTTCACTCTCAAGCTCAAGTTGAGCCTCACTAGCAACTTCTTTTGCTTTAGGGGTATCCATCCATTTTTTAATTTGGTTTTTCAACAAGGTGTTTTCTATGGTTACTTCTCCCTTATGTTTCTTCAAATATACAATAAAAACTAACATATTGTCCCCTCTTGTTCTGTGTCACCAATTTCTTCAATTAGAGCATTTTTCTCATTAATGAGGCTATGATAGGCATCAATCAACCCATTTGCTAAGGACATCAATTTTTTCATAGAGTAAGTTTTTAAATTTCTTTGAACATCAAGAAAACTTACCTCTTCTTCCTCCTTGTCCTCATCATCATCAAATTTAGCCATGAGTACGAAGATTGGCTCATATTTTGAAGATTCATTGTCAACAACCATCATAGATACATCTCCTTGGTCGTCCTCACCTTCAGATTCGCTGGAGGAATTTCCCCAGTCAGCCTAAGCTTGCTTCACCATGTTGTCAGCAGCATTGAATTTTCTGTCAGGGACCTGGTTCCTCTTAGCCGCCTTATCAGTGTTGGTTTTGTAATTATCATGCTTATGAAGAGGGGAGTCTTTAATGAAGTGTTCATGTTTTCCATACTTATGACAACAGTCATTTCCTTTGAAATTCTTGCTGAAACTTCCTTTTTTGGGATCCCACCATTTTTACGAACCATCATTTGAAATCTTCGAGCGAGATACATCATGTCAGATTCATCACTACTTTAGTCAGTGTGGGAAGCTTTGAGAACCAGGTTCCTCTCCTACTTGGGATCTCTTCTTTTAAGATCCTTCTTTCTCTTCATCTCATATGTTTTGAGATTTCGAATAAGCTCGTCAACAATCAGCTTGTGCATGTCTTTGGCTTCAGTGATAGCATTAACCTTGCTCTCCCAAGAACCTAGTAAAACACCGAGTATCTTCCAGACCAGCTTGTTGGTTGGAATGATTTCACCAAGTAAATAAAGATCATTAATTATGGAGGTAAAATATGTATGCATCTCTTGAATGAACTCATCCTCTTTCATTTTAAAGAGTTCATACTCAGTTGTAAGCATATCTATTTTGGACTGCTTTACCTGAGTAGTTCTCTCGTGAACCATTTGAAGAGATTCCCAGATTTCCTTGGCAGATTCACATGCCGAGATACGATTATACTCGTCTGGTCCAATACCGCACACAAGAATCTTCTTTGCCTTGAAGTTCTTCTCAGCAGCTTTTCGGTCACCACCATTGTATTCTTTTTTTGTTTTTGGAATAGTCCTTTTTCCCTCTCCAACAGTCTTCATAGGGACAAAGGGACCATCACAAATCACGTCCCAAAGCTCGGAGTCCTCAACAATTATGAAGTCATGCATTTTTGTTTTCCACCAACCATAGTATTAGTCATTGAATCTTGGTTGTCTGGATGTTGATTGTCCTTCCTTGAAGTTTAGTGGAGTAGCCATGTAGATCCTTTCTAGGTGTTAACCTTTTAGAAAGAACCTGCTCTGATACAAATTGATAGGAATTAGGAGTCTACCAAACTATATAGAGAACCAGGTTCTCTATCAGTTCCCACAATAAGCAAAAGACTATAAAACCAAACAGTATAGGGAACTAGGTTCTCTATCTGTTCCCACAGTAAATCAGCAATAAATAAAGAACACGTGATATTTACGTGGAAAAATTCTTGCTCAGAAGATTAAAAACCACGACCTACCCTAGTAGGATTTCAACTCCACTAAACCGAACAAACTTCAGATTAAAACCTATTGCAATCTAGGAATTAAACTCTTAATCTCTCACTCCTTACAGTAACTTTATTATAAGCACTTTGTAATAAATCTATTACAAAGTAACAAAATTTGACTAACTCAAGTCAAGAAACTAAATCAAACAGTGGTTTAAATATTTCCTACAAAGACACTCCTTGAAAGTAGTGTAGGATTACAAATGAAGAACAAAATGACAAAGACTCAACAAACCTAAGGACTTAAGATATCTTCAATCTTTGAATCCGGTCTTTGAGGTTACAACAACTTTGTTCTTGAGAGAGATGGTAGCTAGCACTTGAGAGAATATTATCTTTTGATCTGCAAGTGTGTGAGAGGTGAAATCCTTTGCCTCATGTGTCACGCCCTAACACTATGTGACCGGCACCTAGTATTCTACCCGACCTGAGTGAACCATCCTATAGATTAATACACATCTATATGTTTAATAGGAGGATGTGAAAGGCTCTTCAATTTCAATCATTTTAAGATATACGCAAAACATGAATAATGTCTTTAAGTAAATATTTTCCTTTGAAGGCAAAGCTTCATAAAGATAAAAGAAAATTTCGTTCATGCACACCATGTAAGTAACCATAGGATTACAACCCAAAATGAATACTACTGTTGTCTATGGAATCTCTATGACATGAACTGAAATAGTCAGCCAAGGCATAACCCGGTTGCTTAAAAGGATATTAATATAATAAAGTCCTCCAGAAATACAAACGTGAAGTCTCACCAAATAACGTCAATGGGGAAATGTAGAGCTGCCCTATCCAAGCGGTTCAAGTTGCTCAGGTCCAGCCCCTGAAAATAGAAAATAGAAATGTGGCCGAAAGGCCTAAGCTCCACATGCCTAGTACGAATCATGAACCGTTCCCCAAAAGGAAAATAGGACGATATTTAAGAAGACATAAGATATGCAATAATAATCGATATCAAAAAAGAAGTATTCATATCAATTAACAATTTAAAAAGTACAATAAAATAATATGACAAAACATATTTCAAAGTCTTCCTTTATCATTGATCTTTGAAAAATCATGTTAGATTTTTCATTTACCGGGAGCACTATACCATCACCGACACGAAAGAAGGTTAACTAGGTTATGTACATAGCGGCAAGTAACATATACCCTACTTGGTCAGGTCGTCTCATCATTGTGCTGCACGAATCGACTCAGCCATGCTAATAAAGTAGCACAATAGTACCTCTAATGGGAAGTACTCTGTCGTAGTCCCCAATCGTAAGGTAGGTTCTACGCCTACACCGGCACGTGTAGTTTCATAACTTAATGAGGAAAAATGTCCAAGGTCAATCTCGGTGAATTTAAGTAACTCCCAAAACCTTTATATTATAAATAATGATATTTATAGCCAAATCAACTATTTGAGAATATCTATATCCAGGATATTTTATAACTCATGTATTTTCATTTCAAAATACTACAAGTGCTATTCCTTATTTATTTAGTTTTTTTTAATTAAGATACAACATTTCAGGAAAATAGTATTCATATTACTTAAATATTTTATGATGCAAGAATGGTAAAATCCCAACTCACTCGTCCCCACAAGCTAGGATTTACATTTTGAAACTCAGTTTAATCGTGTTTCGATATGAGTTTGGAGAAAAATTCTGAGGGTAGTAAGTTTCAACGTACCTCAAATTGCTTCCAACCTTATCACAAATGATCCAATAACTCCAATGAGTCACGATCTACATATACAAACTCACATAATTCAAGAACGAATCACAACGATACTACTAAACCAATTAAGTGTCTAACACTTAAATCCAATCTTGTAAGTTTAACAAAAATCCTCATTTGATTATTTGAATGACAATCCTTGAATTTTAACTCCAACTTATTCAATAAACTTGTTATGGAATCTAGTCCTTACACTATAAACTCAAAATAACATCGTTCAAACAACACCCATCATTATTCATCATTCTTACCAACCAACTTTTCAATTTCAAGACTAGCTTCTAGGGTTTTATGAATAGATGTTTAAATACAAATCTAACTTCATAAATATACTCTACTACGCCCGTGGAGTATGGTACATAAGATTGGAGTGAAGAAATTACCTCTTTGTCAAACCCTAAAAGTTTCAAGATTTGAGTTTCTTGAAATGTCCTTGAGATTATCTTCAAAAATTTATGAACCCCACGATGTTGGAGGGTTAAAAGATATAATAAATGAATTAAATTTATCAAAGAAAGGCATTTAATTCTTACCTTGAAGATGTATTAATTATAAATAGCTGCTCCTTCTCTCTAATCCCCAAGACCAAGTCAAATATAATATAATCTCTCCCTTTACAAAATGCCTACAAAAACATCAGCTGTGGATTCTAAATTTCGGGTGTTGAGTTGCACGCCTTCACTGGGTTCTAATTTATTCCATCACAAAATCAACATTTTGGTCTTCAACTTTAATCATTCTATTTCCCACTTACTTTTGTCTTTCATAATTACTTCCATTATTTCCTTATCCTTGTTATTTAATTAATTCCATTGTCCCCTACTTGTCTCTTTATTGGCCAACCACTTTTCCTAGTTTTCTAAATCCTTTCTCGTTGACATATTAAGACTAGGATTTTAAATCCTTGTTTTCCTTATTAAATTCCAACTCTTCAAGTTGGTTACATACCATTGAATTCTCAAAATTTCAGCACTTATGAATAGAAGCTTGAAATGCTCCAAATGCATTTGATGACCTTGTAACATCCACTAATTCAATGATTAACTATTGATATTGTACCTAAGCATTCCAATAGCTTTGTTCCACTCAAATAATCACGTAGCTCAGATTTAATTACATTGCATTCTCAAGCTCAAAATTAGTAGGAGTTAACTAAAAGAATTTACGGGGCTTTACATTCTCCCCCACTTAGAAATATCCGTCCTCGAATGTAAATTTCTTGTCGTGTTAAAGTCTAAAAACATAATCTCCGAGCCTTTTGCTTACTCCTTAACTCTTTAAGGCTTCAAAATTTGACTAACTCTCCAAAAAAAATTTAAAAAATTTCAGTAGAGTTTCCTTCGTTAATAGGCTTATCCCAAAATTCTAACCTTATAACGAGTTATAAGAATACAATATAAAAGGCCTTACATGGCTCAACTCAACACAACTACCTTAATGAATGTATCCGCAATTTCATATATCTCCGGACATCAGTACTTAGCCTCTCCCAACATCACAACAATTAAATTTATCGACATAAGATATGTCTAACAACCATGTGCAATAGATAAATCAATCAATCACTTGCCCCATGGAAGTAAATTATAATAAACTCTAAACTCAAAATTTCAAAAAAATAGTCATACCTGAAGTTGCGAATAAGTGTGGATATCGAATTTTCATATCTTCCTCAGCCTCCCAAGTAGCCTCCTCGACGTCATGATTATGCCATAACACTTTAACTGAAGCTATGTCTTTAGTCCTCAACCTACGAACTTGCCTATCAAGAATCTCAACAGGTTCTTCGTCATAAGTTAAGCCGTCATTTATTTCTACTACTTCTAGTGAGACGATGTGAGCATGATCATGCACATACCCTCGTAGCATCGATACATGAAAAACAGGATGAACCAAAGTCATCGATGCAGGTAACTCCAGCTTATAGGCTACTTCCCCAATCCTTTTCAAGATACGATATGGGCCAATGAATCTAGGACTTAGCTTGCCCTTCTTCCTGAATCTTATAACGCCCTTCATTTGTGATACTTTCAAGAATACTTGATCACCCTCCTTGAACTCCAACTTAGGTCGATGTACATCTGTATAGCCTTTTTGTCGACTTTGTGCAGTCTTAAGCTGTTGTTGAATCAAAGCCACCTTCTCTAAGGCATCATGTACAAGATAGGGACCAAGTAGTCCTACCTCTGTCAGCTCAAACCATCCAATAAGTGATCTACAACGTCGTCCGTACAAAGCTTCATATGGAGCCATCTGGATACTAGCATGATAGCTATTATTGTAGGCAAATTCGATCAGAGGTAAGTGTTCATCCCAGTTCCCACCAAAATCAAGGACACAAGACCACAACATATCCTTAAGTGTCTGAATAGTTTTTTCAGCTTGTCTGTCAGTCTATGGATGGAAAGTGGTACTCAAATTGACACTTGTACCCAATCTTTCTTGAAAGGACTGCCAAAAATGAGCAGTAAATTGGGCCTCTCTATCAGATATAATGGAAGTTGGAATCCTGTGAAGTCGGACAATTTCTTTCAAGTGCAACTTAGCATACCGTGGTGCCGTGTCAGTCAAATTTACTGGTAAGAAATGCGCCGACTTCGTAAGTCGGTCTACAATCACCCAAATAGAGTCATGCTTCAAGTGAGTGCGAGGAAAACCCACAACAAAGTCCATATTAATCATCTCCCACTTCTAAAGTGGAATCTCAATATTTTGAGCCAACTTACCAGGTCTTTGATGCTTAGCCTTTACTTGCTGGCAATTTAAACATCTAACCACGAAGTCCGAAATATTTTCCTTCATCTGATTCCACCAATAGGTCTCCCGCAAGTCTTTGTACATTTTTGTAGACCCTGGATGTATAGAATATCTTGAACTGTGTGCCTCATCCATAATTTCATTATGAAGCCCATCAACATCTGGTACACACAAGTGACCATTCATCTTCAACGCCCCATCCTCATCAAGAGAAAATGCAAGGATTTCTTTAGATTTTACACTATTTCGAATATTGACCAAATTTGGATCTTCAAATTGCTTAGCCTTGACACGCTCAATAAGAGAGGAACGTGCTATGGCACAAGCGGCTAGCTCTTTACTTATCGATAAATGTGCTAAGGTACCTCCTGACTTTCGGCTTAGTGCGTCGGCTATGACATTCGCCTTTCCCAGATGGTAATGAATGCTTAAATCATAATCCTTCAATAGTTCTAACCATCTAATTTGCCTCAAGTTTAATTCCCTCTGCTTGAATATATATTGCAAGCTTTTATGGTCAGTGTATACTTCACAATGCTCACTGTACAAGTAATACTGCCAGATTTTCAAAGCAAAAACAACCGCGACAAGTTCCAAGTCATGGGTTGGATAGTTCTTCTCATGGATCTTCAACTGTCTAGAAGCATAAGAGATAACCTTACCTTTCTGCATCAAGACACAAACCAACCCAACTCTAGAGGCATCACAGTAGACCATAAAGTCACCCAAACCTGTTAGCAATGTCAACACTGGCACCGTAGTCAATCTAGCCTTCAACTCTTGAAAACTTCTCTCACAAGCATCCGACCACTGAAACTTCACTGCTTTCTGCGTCAACTTGGTTAACGGAGATGCAAGAGTAAAAATCCTTCAACAAACCGCTGATAGTAATCCGCTAATCCCAAGAAATTGTGGATCTCCGTCGGTGTAGTTGGTCGAGGTCAACTCTTAACCGCTTCAATCTTTGAGGATCAACCTTAATACCTTCACGAGATATTACATGACCCAAGAAGGCCATGGATTCGAGCCAAAATTCATACTTAGAGAATTTGGCATATAACTCATTCTCCAAAAACGTTCGCAACACTATTCTCAAATGATTGGCATGCTCTTCTTGACTTCGCGAATAGTCTAATATGTCATCAATGAAAACAATCACGAATCTATCAAGATCTGGTTTGAAAACTTGATTCATTAGATCCATAAAGGTCGCGGGTGCATTTGTTAGTCCAAATGACATCACCAAAAATTCATAATGCCCGTAGCGAGTCTGAAAGGCTGTTTTGGGAATATCCTTCTCTCGAATCTTCAATTGATGATACCCCTACCTTAAATCAATCTTTGAGAAGAACTTTGCTCCTTGCAACTAGTCAAACAAGTCATCTATCCGAGGTAGTATGTACCTATTCTTGATGGTCACTTTGTTAAGTTGCCTGTAGTCAATACACATCCTCAAAGATGCATCTTTCTTTTTCAAAAATAGCACTAGCGCACCCCAAGGTGATACACTAGGTCTAATAAACCCTTTATCCAGTAAATCTTTCAATTGCTCCTTCAATTCTCTTAATTCTGCTGGAGCCATTCGGTATGGGGGAATAGATATTGGCTGAGTATCTGGCACCACATCTATCCCAAAGTTGATGATCCGATCTGGTGGGATACCCGGAAGCTCATCAGGAAAAACATCAGGAAACTCATTAACAACTGTCGCAGACTGAATGCTTGTTACCTCCGTAGTTGTGTCAATGACTCTGACTAAATGATAGAGACATCCCTTCGTGATCATCTTCTTCGCCTTAAGGTATGAAATAAATTTACCTCGAGGCTCAACAATATTGCCTTTCCACTCACGAACTGGCTCAGTAGGAAACTAAATATGACCACTTTAGCACGACAATGAAGAATGGCATAACACTTGTATAACCATTCCATCCCCATAATCATATCAAAGTCAACCATTTCTAGTTCAATAAGGTCTATAGTAGTCTCTCGATCTTGGATTATGATTACACAACCCCTATAAATGTGGGAGGCAATAACAGGATCTCCCACCGGAGTCGACACAGAAAATGGTTCAAATAGTTATTCTGGCTCTATGCCAAAATCTAAAGCAAAGTACGGAGTAACATAGGAAAAAGTAGATCGAGGATCCATAAGAGCATAAGAATCTAGAGCACAAAATCTAAGTATACCTGTGATGACAGCATCTGAAGCCTCTACAGTAGGGCGAGTAGGTATGGCATAGAAACGAGCATAAGTTCCATGAGAAGTAGCAGCTGTCTGTGGCACATTTCCTGAATTGCGCTGTTGTGGGCCCCATTATCCATAGGTGGGGGCGGTGCAGCTGAAGTAGTAGCCATATAAGGTATCGGGTGAGCTCTCGAACCCTGTTGCCCATTAGGGCAAAACTTTCGGATGTGACCCATCAACCCGCATCCATAGCACGGACCACGGGGTCCCCTGGTAACACTAGGTTGATGCTGATGAGAACTCACACTAATCTGACCCTGCTGTGCAGTACGATGCTCCCTCTGAACGGACCTAGACTGCCCTCCTTGTTCGGAACTGTATGCCACTAGAGGGCTACTGAAAGTTGTCTGCATCCTAGACTGCGGTGGTCCAGATGATCCTCTGTTGTTCTACCCCTTGCCCGAACTAGGCACTGCACTGAAAGTGCCAAAATTCTGAGCCTTTTTGTTATGCTCCCTATTATCCCTCTCCTCCTGATGAATCCTCTCGAGATCCATTGCTAGACCTACAAAGTCAGTAAAGGAAGTGTTCCTTCTCCCACTAGCCGTATCTTTTCTGATGCCCGAAATCAAGCCACGAGCAAAGCAATCAATCTTTTCATCCTCAGTGGGGATGAGGTGGGGATCATAACGGGATAACTTCTAGAATTTGATGTTATACTCAAGGACGGTCATGGTATCCTACTTTAAGGTCTCAAACAATATCGCAAGGGCGGCTCTCACTCTTGGTGGTAACCACTTCTTAATGAAGATCTTCTTAAATTCTACCCAAATTATTGGAGGTGCATCCTCCGGTCGACTTTTCTCTACCCCTTTGAACTAGAGGTCAGCAATGTCTTTCAACTGGTAGGTTGCCAATCGAATCACTCAGTAGTCTTTAACTCCCAGCAAAGTAGTAGCTTTCTCAACTTCCTCTAAAAAGTCCTGAGGGTCTGCAGTGGGATTTGTACCAGTGAAAACTGGCGGCTCAAGTCTCACAAATTTCATGGCCAAATGTGGCATGTCCTCAACCGTTGGTGCTCTCATCCCTCCTTATTGGAGTGCCTGAATACCCACTTGAAGGTTCTGTTGGGTCTGCATAGCCATAAGGTCATCAAAAGTATCCATAGCCTTTTTAATATCAGTGAGGGTCTTTTCCAAGTGATTTGGTTCTGGAGGTGGAGCAGGTGCCTCATCAACTTTTTCCTCGAGCTCCTGGACCATCCTTGGAGCCATTGGAACTGGCACAGTCCGTGCTATTGCAGCCTTCGGAGGTCGGCCCCTAGGTCTAGCGGGTACCCCTCCTGAAGCCGCATCAGGTATAGGAGCAACTTCTCGATTCATATTACCGCCACGCGTGTTCACCATCTTCTGCCAATTGATATAGCACACGAGTTAGGAAATATTTCTTAGTTTTATTGCATGATTCTAGAATAAGAAGAAAGAGTGAAATATTCTTATAATGTCCATATAGCCTTCTCGATATATAAGTATGGTGCACAACATACCAATAAAGAGAACTCTACCAGACACGATTTCATAGATTTCCTAGGACTCGAATTAGAACCTAGGGCTCTGATACCAAGTTTGTCACGCCCTAAAACTATGTGACCGGCACCTGGTATTCTACCCGACCCGAGTGAACCATCCTATAGATTAATACACATCTATATGTTTAATAGGAGGATGTGAAAGGCTCTTCAATTTCAATCATTTTAAGATATACGCAAAACATGAATAATGTCTTTAAGTAAATATTTTCCTTTGAAGGTAAAGCTTCATAATGATAAAAGAAAATTTCGTTCATGCACGCCATGTAAGTAACCATAGGATTACAACCCAAAATGAATACAATTGTTGTCTATGGAATCTCTATGACACCAACTGGAATAGTCAGCCAAGGCATAGCCCGATTCCTCAAAAGGATATTAATATAATAAAGTCCTCCACAATTACATGCGTGGAGTCTCACCAACTAACATCAACGGAAAATGTAGAGCTACCCTATCCACACGGTCCAAGTTGCTCAGGTCCAGTCCCTGAAAATAGAAAATAGAAATGTGGCCGAAAGGCCTAAGCTCCACATGCCTAGTACGAATCATGAACCATTCCCCAAAAATAATTTAAGAAGACATAAGATATGCAATAATAATTGATATCAAGAAAGAAGTATTCATATCAATTAATAATTTAAAAAGTACAATGAAATAATATGGTAAAACATATTTCAAAATCTTCCTTTATCATTGATCTTTGCAAAATCATGTT